TTCTTGGCCCCCAACGACGATCATCACGTAGTCCCCCGACCGCAACTCTTCGGCGCGCGTCACCAGCTGCCGCGGATCGCGCCCCTCGAGGATGGGAGGACTCCAACTCGCACGGGGCGATCGGCGCAGCCCACGTGACTCGCTCCTCGCTGCTGGTGGTGACGGCGGCAATGGAAACGCCGCCGCCGCCGCTGCTGCTGCTGCGGCCCCGGCTTCCACCCCATCGCGTGGCGGCCCAGACTGCACGGCCGGGGATGCAACACTCGCCGTGGGCGTCGGCAAAAAAGTTCCGGGCAACGCCACAGCGGGGGACACACCACGTGAATTTATCATTAGCGACGCATCCTGACACTGCAGCAATTCCACACGGATGAGTGCGACCGGGACGGAGACGGGCGCAAGATTGGCACCTGCGGCGGCCGCGCCGGGGAGCGCTGACACGGACATGCAGTCGGAGCTTGCCGCTGCGCTGGGCGGCGAGATGGAGACGGAGGCGGAACGCAGCTTCGCCTCGGCCGCCGCGGCCTCCTGGACTTGCCGTGGGGCATTCGTGCCGAAGTGCAGGTGGACGACCGCGCCGCGCGGCAGCTGCCCCGCCCTGGCGTCCTCCCGCAGCGCCCTGGCGCCCAGGAAGAGCGCGGACGCAACCTCGCCATGTGCGGCGCCCGGGGCCGCCACCGCCACCACGCCGCGGCGCACGCAACCGAGCGGCGTTGCCGGGTCCACCGGGACGACGAACTCCCTGCCGCACGCAACCACTCTAAGAAGCAGTGGGGCCGCCGCCGCCGGCTTCCTGCCGGCGCACTTCGCCTTCAGACGGTGCCACAGCCGCTTCAGCTCCCTCCATGCGCGCCGGCGGCCTTTACCCGCGCCCCGCGGTGACATGCGTCGCGCCCCCACACGTGTGCCGGTTGCAACTCCAACTCGCCCCCTCCACGCCACTCCACTCGGCGGTATCCTCCTCCCCAGGCTGGACACAAACGGAAAGAGCAAAAAAATAAAAAATAAAAAAACGGGGGATGAGCACATGCACACGGAGACATCAACACGACGCCAACGACTCGACAGAACACAGACACATTCATACAAAAAGGGAGTGCGGCGCAGAATTCAAACAGTCTGGCGAGAATGATCAAGCATTCCGCAGATCTCTGTGCTTAAGGACGCAAACAAAAAAAAACAGTATCCACACTTGAGAGTCTTGCCCACTACAAATGCGGCTTAGTTACTTTTCCGGTTGTCGTTGTTGTGGTCGCTGCTTGCCTCAGCAATGTGGGGAAATGCGCACACACCATACTTGACACACGCCGGCGCCCACAGCTGAACTCGTAACAGACTCCAGCGTGAGCGTCGCGCCCCGCGCATACAGCACTAGGACTGTTCCACAGAAGCCGCAGCCGCAGCCGCACGCATCGCCGTGGCTGTGGTGGTTGGCATCCCCCGCCGAGAAGCGGCGATACCGCCGCAAGGGAGACTCATCCCCGTCACCGCCGTCGTTCAGGCTGGTTAGGCGAAAAAGCGCATCCACCTCCATGGGCCTGCCGTTGCCGCCCCACTGAACAATAACGGTGGGCTGCGGCACCCGCACAAAACACTGGAGCCACTCCCACAAGCGCGCCTCGTCGGCCTCGTTGCCGCTGCCACTCCGAGGCTGGGAATGGCCGTTTCGCTGCAGGCAAATCAGAAGTGGTCCCATGGGGCCAAGCAGAAGCGCGTGAGCCGTCACGCTACGCGCGCCAAAACGGCCGCAGCTGACTGCCTGCCTGAGAGTGGCGTCGCGGCACGTGCCTCCCGCAGCCCACTCTGTCCCCCCCGCCGCGCCAGGCACCAAACACATCACACCACACTCACATCCGGCCTGCGGCGCAGCGGGAAAGTACTCAGCGCGCAGGCCCTTGGCAAGTGGGACGACATCCTCCTCCGTCAGGCGACAGTCCGCAAGCAGCACCACGCTGCGTCCGTTCGAGGCTTCCATCACCTCATGCAGCAGCGCCTCTGCCGAGGCGTGTCGATCCCCGCACGCAACAACGCCCGCATCCGCCGCGTGCCCGGCAGCGTCAGGGTGACCGTGCAGCCGGTCAAACGCCGCGCTTCCCACAGTCACGAGGCGCAGGTCACCGTCTCCAGCAGGGTGCGGCGGGCGCTGGGGCCACACCGCCGCCCCCGTCGTCGTCGTCGTCGTTCGTGCATCCCCCTGGCTCTCGTCGCACTCCGCCAGCAGCCGCTGCAAGAGAACGAGCAGGAATCCGACGTACGGCATCCGTTCCTCAGCTTGCAGGAAGAGGTATTGTCCGTCCTCCGTCAGGCCGTAACCGGCATACGCCGTGAGCAGGTGCTGCGCCACTTTGCTCAGGGAATGTGCGGGTTCAAAAGCGTCTTGTGGACGCCCGCGAAACTGCCAGCAGTCGTGTAGAACGCGACACGTCTCCAACACAACGTGCCTGCGAGAAAACTTGGCGCCCCCATTCCCCGCCGGGCACAGCGAGTCAAGCGTGTGACGCACCTGCTGCCCCCAGCGCTCTTGCGCACTCACCGCCGTGCGGGGCCGCTTCCTGCACGGCCTCGCCAGGGGCAGGGCCCCCAGTGGCGCTGCGCTCTTGCCAGGCGCATCGGCAGCCTCCGCAGACGGCGGGCAAAAGGGCGTCCGCCATGAAGACTGGCCGGAAAACGCACTGCTCATCACGTCACCCTCCTGTTCTCTCTTTGCTCGCAGACGGAGAGAGAGGCAGCTCCAGCTACGCTACTGACAAATGGCGCGTTCAGTTGGGCGCGTCCAACTCGCTGTTTCACTTCAATGCATCTTTGATTCCGCGGTGAGGAAGATGTTGTGCGGGCGCCGTCCCGCGGCCGCGCAATGGACGGAGGCGTGCCCCCCACAGAAGGAAAAAAAAGAAGAGAAAAAAAAAATGGCGAGACACTTCAATTGGGTGACGCAGGAGGTTAACAGCAGCAGGAGGCGACGCGACAGCGAGCACCGCAACCACGCGGCATTCGGCCGCTGCAGCTATCAACTTCGTGGGACTATCGACACCTTGCCTGACGAGGCGAGGCACGAGTGCACCTTTCCATACATTTGCCTGCCCCCGCCCCACCCCTCCGCACCGCTCGGGAAGGGGGCAGTGGAGTGATGGCTGTGTCGGAGGGAAGAAACGAGGGAGGCAGGAGCCGCAGAAGCCCACACACAGTCGCAGGCACAGGCAGAGACACAGACACAGATATATGCATATTTGTATCTATATATATATATATATATTAAACAGGACTGTGCAGCACCCGCCCCCTCCTCTCCTCCTCCTGTAATCCTACTCACTCCAGTTGTTTGTTGTTGTTTACTTCCCTGATGCTTTTTGTTTTGTTTTGTTTTGTTTTGTTTTTCCTTCTGCGTTTTGTTTTGTTTTGTTTGTGCCTGGGGGAAGAGTTATTTGCAATGAAACAAAAAAGAGTCATATAGGCACACGCGCACGCACGCACGCACGCACGTACGCGTACGATACACGCAAGCACACGAGTCCAGATGTGTACTCTTTCTAGTTGAACTCGCTGCGCCACTGCTCGGCCACAACAACGCCGCCCACGCCTCTTATTCACATATGGCGTGGCAGGCGTGCATCCCCGCACTCTCGCGCACTGCCATGCTCTTCTGTCACCGTAGATGCTGCTGTTGTTCTCGTCGCCGCCGTCGTCGTCGTCGTCGCTGTTGTGTCTTCTCTTCTCCGCTCCATCGCCTCTCTCTATACATGTGTCACGCGCATCACTTCAGCCCCCTGGGCTCCCCCCCCCCCCTCTCAGCTCTGCTGCACCTGCTGCACGTGGTAGTTTTCTATCTTCTCGAGAAAGGTCTGGGCGTACTGCGGCGAGTAGTACTGTACAATCTCAGGCGGGTAGCAGTTGTTGATGCTCTGGATGTACTCCGCAAGCTTTGAGCCGGGCTCGGGGTGTATCCGCTGCACGGTGGCAAGGCCGCGGTTGGCGACAAACTCGCGCTTCGCCGCGATGTCCGTCGGCAGCACCTTTGCAAACTGCCCACACACGTACTTGAGCACATTCTGCGGCGCGTCCGGGTGCAGCAGCGGCTCCAGCGCGGGGAGCTGGACGCAGCGCTCAATGATGTTCTTCAGCGCCCGCTTGCTCTTCGTGCGGAGGTCGTCGGAGCTGTTCGGGTTCAGGTAGACGTCCAGCAGCCTGGGGAGCACGTTGCAGTCCGCGACCGCCTTGGCGTGGTCCGCGCTGTGGCGGCCAATCTGCCCGAGCGACCAGGCGGCGGCGGCCTTGATGTGGTCCTCCGGCTCCTTCTCCAGCGCGTCCGCGAGCGGGGGAATGCCGTGCGAGACGATGACGGCCAGCGCGAGGGTCTCGGAGAAGGCGGAGATGAAGCCGAGCGTCATGATGCCCGGCAGACGGGCGCTATCCCGCGACTCGCTCGTGTAGTCCACGAGGGCGCCCACGCCACCCGCGTTGACCACCAACTGCGCCAGCTCCGGTGTGTGTTTCGCAATCTCGCGAATACACGTGGCGGCGTTTTTGCGCACCGCCTCGTCGCTATCCTTGAGCAGCGTGAATATCTTGGGGAATATCTCGCCCTCCACCACCAGCTCCGCCAACTCCACGCTGTGCTTCGCGATCTGCGCCAGGCACTGGCACACCTGCCGCCGCAGCTTGCTGTCGTTGCTCATGATGAGCGGGGCAAGGTGGGTGACGGCGTCCTGATCCACCACCGCCTGCGCAAGCTCCGGCAGATGTTTCGCGATATCCGAGAGAGTTGAGGCGGCGGTGCGCTTCAGCGACAGCTCCGGCTCCTGCACGCACAGCACCAGCGGCGGGATGGCGCCCTTGTCCACCACCTCCTGCGCCAGCGGGGCGTTGTGCCGCGCCACGTACCCCAGCGCCCAGGCCGCGCTCTCCTTCACGGTGGGGTCAAACTCCTCCAGGCAGCCCACGAGGGCCTCCACCGCCTGGCTGTCCACAACCGCCTGCGCCAACTGCGGGGAGTGGCGTGCGACGCTGCGCAGCACAAAGGCCGCTGACTTCTTGTAAAACCGGCTCTGGTCGCCGAGCGAGTAAACCAATTGTGCCAGAATGTCGCCAGAGACGACGTTTTCAGCGAGCTCCTCGCTGTAGTTTGCAAGGCGACCGAGCGCCAAGGCGGCCGACTGCTGGATGGAAGGAACACTGTCTAAAAGAAGCGGCCGAAGCAATTGCATGACGCCTGCCTGCTGCAGCGCCTCAATGTGCTGCGGCTTGGAGGCCAAGTCCGCTATCGTCTGCACGAACTTGACGCGTGCCTTTTGGTACTCCTCGAACACCTGAATGATTTGCCGGTTGGGCATCCTTCTCTCTCTCTCGACTCTCTCCTTCTTCTTTATCTTCTTCTTTTTTTGCTTTATTTTTAGGTTTCCCTTTTCCTTTTTAACTTCTTGGGGGGTAAGCGCGCGCTAGATCGCTCTAAACAAGGCAGTGTGTGACGCGTGTGCTCGCAGTGGCACCCCGATCCCTCCCTTTTGTTTCTTTGTTTCGCTTTACTGCCTGCTGCCGCTTCCGTCGTGGCACCCCGGCACTTGTGTTGGTTGCCACCGCCCGCGGGGGGAGGCGCGGCGCCAACGGCGCGATAAAAAAAAAAAAAGAGAGGAAGAAAAGGCAGAGAAAGAGAAGCATCCGCAACAGGCGTCGGAGGAGCAACTCGCAGAGGACAACGAAGTTCCGTCGCCCCCCGTCACCGACGGCGGGCTGTGGGCGCGGGTGTGAAGGAGACGCATGCGCGCAGTGGCGGGGGCAGGCAAACTACGCACCCGGCGCGGTGGCAAGGCGCCGCTCGGACTCCAAGAGGGCCTCATTCAGCAGCAGCACCTCCGCCTCGTGGTGGCGTGCGTCGGCGAGGAGCCGGCTCTTCAGCAGCACAACGAGTTCCCGCAGCTCGGCGTCAACTCTCTCGGCGGGCCTCTCCTCCAGGGCGTCGGTCAGCCGGGTCTCCAGCAGGCGGTTGTACTGCTCCTCCATCTGCCTCACACGCAACTTCAGCAGCGTGAGAGCTGCACCACCGCCACTAGCGCCCCTGCCGGAACCCTCGGCCCGCTTTTCGGACCCACGGAGGCGGTGCCGCAGCCGTCGCACCTCCTCCTCCCGCTGCTGCAGACTCTCACGCAGCTGCGCGACGGCCCCCGCGGTGGCCTCCTCCTCCGCCCGCCTCACCGCGGCGAGGCGCTGCAGCAGCTGCTGATTTTTTGCGTGGAGCCGGCGCATGATGCCGTCCGCCACCTCCAGCTTTCGCTGCAAGTCCGCCACGGAGGCGGGCCGCCGAAGCCGCGACGAGGAGGTCGACGGCGGCGGCGGCGGCGGCAGTGCGGCGGCTCCCGTCACGCCGCCACTCTGCCGCAGCGACGGCTCTGTGCTGGCCGCCCGCACCACCCGGTTGATGTCGCCCTCGCGCGACTCCAGCCGCAGTTTCTCCTGCAGCGCCGCGAACAGCTGCAGCGCCTCATCCACCCTGTTGGACCGCATCCCGCCGCCCTCGCTTTGCATCATGCGCGGCACAAGGGGAAAAAAAGGAAAACTAATAATAGTTCTAAAAGTAACAACGCAGGCGCCTGGAACCCCAGTCAGCCATGACCGGGCGAGGCGGTGGGCCGTGTGACTCTCCCACTCGCCCCACAAACACACACACACACACACACAGACAGACAGACAGACAGAGGGAGAGAGAGCAAACTGCGAGAAACACGAGGGAGCGCGATAACCCAGGCGTGGGTCGATAGCCACAGCGGTGTGTGCATCCCCAAAAAAGGCGTGGGGGGGGGAGAGAGAGAGAGAGAGTCGAATCCCCCGCCCGCCCCTCCCAAGCATCTGCGTCACCCCGCCCCGCTTCTACTCCCTTGCGTCATCGGCTGCGGCTCCGCCGTTGGAACATGCGCCGCTCCCTGCGCCGCAGCTCCTCTTCGAGGGCGCACAGCCGTTCCGCGTGGTCCAGCAGCTTCGCCTCCCGCTCCGTCAGCCGCTGCCGCGTGCGGCGCACTTCTGCCGCCTCCGCCTCCGCCCCCGCCCGCGCCCGCTGGACCTCGCCCCATGTCTCCTCCGTCGCCTCTTGCGCCGCCGCCAGTCGCTGCTCCCGCCGGATGAGTTCACTCCATGTCGACCCCCAGTCATGCCTAGCCGCCTCCTCGATGGCGGCGTCTCTTCTTCCACTCAAGGTCCCGCAACAAAAGGCAAGCTTTTCCAAAGAACTGTCCCCATCCACGCCTTCATCTTGTGCAGGCTGGCGGGCGTTACCCTGCGCCCGTGCGGCAGCATCAGTGGGAGGGCGTGAAAGTAGAGTCTGCGCGCGGCGCCGCTCCCCCTCCAGCGTGCGGAGGCGCCGCTTGCACGCTTCACACTCCTCCTCTGCCGCCTCACGGCGCGTTTGCTCCTTTCGCCAATGAAGCATATACTTTTTGCACGTCGCCTGGCACGCAGCAAGCTCTTCCTGCAGACGCTTCACAGCCGCTGGCTCCTCCTCCGCGACCGCCACAGGGAGCAGTACTGCGGCCGGTGCTTCTTGGGCCGACTCAAGCCGCGGCAGTTGCTCAGCGAGCCGCAGTCGCAGCGCCATTTTGTCTGCGGAAAGGCGTTCATTTTCGGCAAAGGCGTCCTGCAGCCTTCGGCGCAGTTCCTCCAACGTAATTCGCATCGACTTGACATGCGGAGACTCTCCCAACGGCGACGGGGGCAGCTGTCGGGGCGGCGGCGGCGGCGGCGGCGGCGGCGGCGACTCCACAGGCGGCTTCGCGTCTGCCACGTCATCCCCGGCGCGGTGACTGGCAATGCGGGCGGTGGCTGTCTTCAAGGCATCCGCCAGGACGCGGTTCCTCGCCTGCAGCGCTGCAGCCTCGCGCGTGCGCCGTGCGACGTCCCTGCGCAGCGCGGCGGCCTCCTCCGCAAGCCCCCGGGCCTTTCCCACAATAAAGGCACGGACGGTCTCCCCGGCAATGAAGCTGGGGACGCCGTCCGTGGCGCTTGCCGGCGCCGCCTCCCGCAGAGAAAACTCCGAGAGGTTCGTTTGGCACAGCCACGACCGCACTGCACCGTCCGTCGCGGCGGACCAGAGCCGCAGCGTCAGCACCGGCTCAATCGGCCTCATGAAGAGGGTAAAGTGCGCGGGGGCCTCCGAAGCGTCGGGGACCAAATGGGGCAGAAAGCACGCGTCCGCGTCCGCGTCCCTCTCGCAGGCGCCGCAGTTCGGACGAAGGGGTGTGGAGGGCTGGCCGCCCACGGCGGGCCCCCGCGGGTAACTCACCGGCAGCTCAGCCAGCATCCTCAGCCGATCCGTGTCCCACAGCGTGACGCTGCCGCCGCGCGTGCAGACCCACACGTGCCGGGGGTCCAGGCAGGAGGCGCAGTGGAGGTAATGGACCGGCGCACACGAGGGAGTGGCCTCCTCCACAACGCGCAACGGCGCGCCGCTGTCCACGTCCCACATATGAAGTGCGCCGCCCTCCGTTCCGCCCCACAACGTCAGCGTTGTCGCCGCTGAACCATGGCGCGGGGCGAGTGCCATGGAGATGACGGCCGCCCTCGCGCCGCCGTACGTCATGCGCGTCCTCCAGGCCACCCCCACCTCCTGCGGGCACTCCAGCAGCGCGACGTCAAACACGCCGGCTCTGCCTCCCCCGTCGTCTGCCGACAACGCCCCCTCAACTCCACCGGGAACAAAGACGCCACCCGGCAGACGCTCATCCGAAGTCAGACTCCGAAAAGGCGGGTGCGGTAGCTGAAGCTTCTGCAGACAGTGAGGGCCAGCCGTTTTCCACACGGCCAAAACGCCATTTGCGTCAAGGGTCAGCAACAACTCCCGCGCCGTGCCAGAGTTTCTCTCGGCAGCAACTTCGGCGTCTGCGCCTTCGCGTGCAGGCACAAAAACACGCGCCATCGCCACAATCGCGGCTTCGTGAAGCACGCAGTCGGCGACTTCGATCATGCTTTCATATTGCAGTTGCAGCATCGTCACCAAGCCACACTGCTGGCCCACGAAGAAGCTGCAGCAGGCCGCGAAGCTCCAACAGAGGCACAATGGGTTACTCCTAGAGCGCAGACGCCGCTGGTAGTGAATTGTGCCATTTCGTTGGTCCCGCACACGCAGCCACCCGCCGACCTCGGCGGTCACTACCACCCCCAGCAACGGCGGCTTTCCCGACGGCGAGCGCGGCGCGGGGTCCGCTGAGTGGGCTCTGGAGGACATGAGCCATTCACTTGTCGATAGAGTGGCGAGAATGGGGTTCGGCGTCACAAAGACGCCTGCGCTCGTCACAGGGGTGCTGGCGGCGGCGGCGGCGGCGCCATCCTCGCGCAGACCCAAGCTAAGCACGTCAAGGGCCGGCGCATCCGCCAACCTCGGCCGTCGCTTGCTATAATAAGCGCCACTCGCGCAACTGTTCGTGTTGTCTACGCTAGTCGCCGCACTTGGCGAACGCACAAGATAAGACGAGGCCTCGCTTCTTCGCCGTAACGGGGCCCGCGAGTTTGGCATGCGGCTCCACTCTGCACTCCCTTTTTGCAGCGTCTGTGTGCGGCGCCGTCCCACACGCACCCGCAGAGGACGAGGCGGAGGGCACGCAACCACGAAAAGAAACGTGGAGAGGCGGAGCAACAAGCACAGAGAGAGAAAGAAAAGAGAGAAAGAGAGACGCGTGGCGGCGGGAGGAGCAGCAGCAGCAGCACACGCGACAAAAGCGCCCGCCTCAAGGCGGAACGAAACGCTCCCTTTTATTTTGCTTCCTCCTCCCTGGAGAAAGTCGTGTCCGATCTATTCGTCTATTTTGAATCTCCAACCCGCCCCCCGCCACCCCCCGGCGCGCCGCCGCCGCCGCCCGCCCCTCACCGGCGGACGGGCTAAATATATTTATATATGCATGTATATGTATATATATATATGAGCGGGCGAGAGGAGACGGGGGACTCTAGAGGAGCAACAACAATCGTGAAACTACGAAAGGCCACAGGGAACGTGAAGAAAGAAGAAAAAGATAGAAAGCTAGATATATATATATATATGTATTTATATATAATTTTTTGTTCCCTTTTCTTAAAAGGGGAGAAAAAAGGAAATAAGTACCGTCTAATCGTGAAATTTATCTTTGCTCGCTCACGCCCCACCACCACCTCAGCCTCTCCAAAGTCGCACACACACACGCTCTTTCCCCGCCCTCCCTGCTTGCATGCAGACGCGCGCGTAGATATATACATTTATATATACGCCACACACATATATATAAACACATACGTGGCTGCCACCCGCCTTACGCCCTCCTCGCATCCCGTGATCCCCTTCCCCGTTCGCTTCCCTTGCCCGTCAGGCCCCATCTGCACCCGCGCAATCGCGCTCTCTAGGTTGTTATTGTTGTTGTTGTTTTTCCTTTTTGTTTGTTTGCTCTTCGTTTTACGCGCTTCCTCGCTGAACGATGGGTGGGACGAAGGGACCCAGCCAGAGCGAAAAAGGCGGACGAATGGGAAGCAGCGGAGGGCCGGTGAGTGGGCGCGTGTGCGTGCGTTTGAAGAGGGAAAACTGCATTATACCCCCAGCATGCATCTATCCATGAACCGATGAGCGGGCCCACCAAAAACGAAAAAAAAAAGAAGCGGGAGGTCCTGTCTTCGTCCGCAGGTTCACTGCGACGAGCTCCCTCCACCACCCATTGCATCTAAAAAGTGACAGTCAAAATAAACTTCGCCCATTGGAGCCACCGCCACCGCGGCTGCGGCGCCCGTCAGTGTTGCTGCTGGTGGGACCGACGCGTGCGGCTCAGGCGTGGGGCCTGTTGCCGGTGTTGCTGTTGCAGCAGCTGCACGGTAGGGGTCTTGGCGCGAATTTTCGCCTCTATCTTTGCCGCGTAGGGGCTGCTCAGCAGTGCGGGGCGCAGGCGGTCGCAGATGCGTTTGAGCTCATTGGGGTTCTCCGTGTGCTCGATGATGGACTGCACCACAAAGTTGCCGAAGCTGTCCTGCACCATCTGCAGCAGGGCGGCAGGGTTGAAGATCAACTCGTCCATCAGCATCCGCCGCACCGCGGGCACGTCGCCGCAGGCTTTAATGATCTTCTCCACGGCGTTGCTCGCGTACTTGTTACAACTCATGTTCAGGAGCTCGCCGGCGAAGCAGGACACCGTGTACTGCGCGGCCACCGTCTTCTCACTGTGCTCAATGGCGCACTGCACAACGTAGTTGCCAAAGGGGTCCAACGCGATGTGGGTGAAGAGGGGCACCAGGGGCGCCATCAGCTGCAACTTTTGCTCCGCGCCGCAGAGCTCAAAGATCCGCATGAGCGAGATGCAGCCCTGCTGCGTGGCAGCCAGGTACTGGACATTGGACGCCAAGACGTTTACAATGGGCTGGAGATCAATCAGGGGGCGTTCAAAGAGGGCCTGCAGAATGCGTCGCGTGTACTGCGAGACGGTACAAAGGTTCAGCACCAACGTCTCGTTGAACGAGGAGACCAGCAGAGCAGTTTGCTCGGGGCTCATGTAGTCCTTCAGGACACGCAGAACGTGGCAGCCATGGTTGTCAAGCGCCACTGTCTCCACATCCGCGACGATCTCGCTCACCATTGTATCGATCACCATCGCATCCTGCGAGCGCATGGCGGCCAGCAGCATGGAGCGGCCCTCGGCAGTGCAGGCCAACTGCACCACGCGGCCCACGCACTTCCGCTCAAACTCCTCGGCGGTGTCAAGCGGGAGCATCGCACCACGCGCCATGGGCGCAGAGACTGTCGGCTCAGCGCACAGTTTTGCAGACTGCTGCTGCAGCTGTTGCGGTTGTGGGGGTGGCTGTTTAAAGACGCCGACGTGGGGTGCGGCCACCTGCACCCTCGGCCGCTGCATCCCTATGGTTAGCACAGGCGGCACATCCAGTCGCGCCATCGTGGTCATCACAGACGGCCGCTGTTGCGTCTGCGGCAGCGATTGCCGCTGCTCGTACACAGCTGGGACGCACCTTGCGGGAGCCGCGTACGAAGCCTCGGGTCGCATTTCCGAGTGCTCTGACATCTTCATCGCGTAGTAGGCGCGGTACTGCGCGCAGGTGGCACAGGGGCACTGTGCGTAGCTCCCCTCCTCTACCTCCATCACGCGCATCGGGTCCGTTGTGGCGGCGGCGTAGGAGTAGAGCGGGGATGAGGCGTACACATCCGTCTCTGCCTCAGTGAAGTGGGCCTGCGACGGCAATGACGCGGGCGCGATACGTGACTGCGGCTGCGGCTGCAACTTCTGCTTATTTGGCCGCGGCGGGGCAATGTACGTCGCCATGGGGGGCTCGGCCTTCCCCCGCAGGGCCGTCGCGTTGAAGTTGACCTCGCGAATCTCCATGTGAGTTGAGTGCACGCAGAGCAGCCAAGACGACGCGGGTGTAGGCGGGATATGTGTTTGCGCCCCTCGAAGGAAGCGGCGACAGCAACCTCAAGGAAAAACGAAAACATAAAATAAAAATAAAATAGAAAGAGAGGAGGATGGGATGGGGAACGCAACGGGAAGAGCCACACACACACACACAGCGAGAGAGAGAGAGAGGAGAGAGGGCGCACAAGATAGATGGATGGAAGCCGAGAGAGTGGCGAGGGGAAGGGGAAGAAATTGCGTCTTTACTCGCTTTTATGAAGGGCCTCGTCACACTCAGAGATGATCGCCTGGCAAATGTACGGTACCTCACGCAGCACGGCGGTCAAATCCGGCACGTTCATTCCAGTAGGAAGAAGCGGCTCCACCGCGTCGCCCGCCCCCAGCCGCCATGCATTTCCGCGGCGGGACGGGAGTTGCTGGTAGCGCAAGTAGCACACTTGCCCTGCTGCGTTCACGGCCAGGTGCAGTTGCTGCGGCAGCGCCAGCTCCTCCATGGGGGTGGGGTCCACGACGTAGTGCCGCGTGGGGGATATCAGCAGGACAGCCAGCACGGGCAGCCGCGACCAGTCCACGGGGCGGCGGAAGGGTTTGCTGCGGTCCACCTCCAGCGAGACACCGCCAGAGGCCTCGTGCAGGGTGACGCACGGCAGCCGCATCGCCTTGAGTGCGGCGTGCACCGCGAGGGAGATGACGGAGGGAAGGTTCCCGCCGTTTGTTTGCAGCACGTGCACGTCCACGTCGGTGCGGAATGCGTAGCCGCCGCCGATGTACAGGTCCTCGCCGGGAAACCCGGCCCCGTCCTCCCCGAGGAGTTTGCCGTGCTGCCGCCCGCCGGCCGCGCCGCCGCCGAGAGGTCCCTCCGTCGCCGCGGCGTCCTCGTCCTCGTCCTCGTCCTCGTCGACGCGCTCCGCCTCCGCCACGCCCAACTGTTCCCGCACCGTCACCTCCTCCGCGCCGAAAGTCTGGCGAATGGTTGTGGCCACAAACGAGAGAAACGCGTGGCGGTAGCGGGCACCGCGGTTACGCAGCGCCTGGGCGTGGTAGTCCACCACGGCGGGCACGGCGTCGATGCTGACGAACAGTGGGCCGCGCGCCCTCCCCGCCTCGGCGCCCACCTCGACGACGGACGGGGCTGCGGCGGCCACGACGGTGGTGCCGCCGCACTGCACCTCCACACAGCTGCCGTCGTACTCCACGTCCACCAGCGAGACCCCCGCGCCGTGGCCTCTGCGGATGCTGAACGAACGCCGCTGCGTCAGCGTCCGCCCGTCGCCGCGGACGTCGTTTGCGACGCCGTCCTGCACCGCCCGTACCTCCGCCTCGCTGACGGCGGGGCTAAATAGCATTGCGCCTGGCCTCTGACAGAGAGGGAGAGAGAGAGAGAGAGAGTGCAAGTAAGGAAGAAAAAGGGCCGAGGCACACACTATGAGACGTATCCGCCACCAACAGAAGGAGAAGAAACAAAAAAAAAAAAAGAGACTAACAAATAAGAAGGAAAAGAAAAAAAAAGAAGACGCACACACGCAAAGGCGTGAGGTGCTGGCGCTTCCGTCGTCCACGTGGATTACTTCGCCGCGGCTCCGTTCTTCGTGTTCCTGCCTCCCCGCTGCCTCTCCCCCTCCCCTCGTTTTCGTTGCTCTCGAACGTT